TCACTAAGTGGCCTGAGCTGCCCATCATGAACTGGGTATTGTCTGACCCACAGAGCCATAAAGTCAGATGTGCACAGCAGTACTTCATCATTAAATGGAAGTGCTATATATGAGATTGGGCCCAAGCAGGACCTGAAGCCAGATAAAGTGCATGAGAAAGTGGCCCAAATGCTCATGGTCTCCACTCCTGTCACATTACCTTCCATCTCCCAGTCTGCACCTATGGCCTCTTGGGGAGTTTCTTAAGATCAGTTGACTGAGGGAGAGAAAACTCGTGCCTGGTTTACAGACGGTTCTGTGCGATATGAAGGCACCACTGAGAAGTAGACAGTGGCAGTGCTGCAGCCCTTCCAGGACCTCTCTGAGGGACAGCAGTGAAGGAAATCCTCCAAGTGGGTAGAACTTCAAGCAGTGCACTAGTTGCTCACTTTGCTTGGAAGGAGAAACAGCCAGATGTGTGATTTTATACCAATTCATAGGCTGTGGCCAATGGTTTGGCTAGATGGTCAGGGACTTGGAAAGAACATGATTGGAAAATTGGAGACAAGGAGGTATGGGGAAGAGGTATATGGACAGACCACTCTGAATGGGCCAAGGAAGTGAAGATATGTATATCTCATGTGAATGTTCACCAAAGGGTGAACTCAGCAGGATTTTAACAATCAAGTGGATAAGATGACTCGTTCTGTGGAAAGCAGTCATCCTCCCACCCAGCAACTCCTGTTATTGCCCAGTGGGCTCATGAAGAAAGTGGCCATGGTGGCAGGCATGGAGGTTATGCATGGGCTCAGCAAAACGGACTTCGACTCAGTAAGACCAACTTGGCTACACCCACTGTTGAATTCCCAATCTGCCAGAAGCAGAGACTAACTCTGAGTCTCCTATACGGTACCGTTCCTCAAGGTGATTAACCAGCAACCTGGTGGCAGGCTAATTACTTTGCACCACTTCCATTATGGAAACAGCAGCGTATCCTTCTTACTTGTATAGATACTTAGTCTGGATATGGATATGCCTTCCCTGCATGCAATGCTTCTGTCAAAACTACCATCCGTGGATTCACAGATCAAGGGACTCACTTCACAGAAAAGGAAATGCAGCAGTGGGACCATGCTCATGGAATTCACAGGTCTTACCATGTTCACCATCATCCTGAAGCAGCTCTCTTGATAGAAGTATGAACTGGCCTACTAAAGACACAATTACAAACCCAGCTAGTTGGCAATACTTCACCTTGTTGGGGCAATGTTCTCCAGGAGGCTGTATATGCTCTAAAACAGCCTCCAATATATGGTGCTGTATCTTCTTGTTATGCATTGAATTGTGTCCCCCCAAAATGCGAATCAACTTGGCTAGGCCATGATTCCCAGTATTGTGTGGTTGTCCACCATTTTATGATCTGATGTGATTATACTATGTGTTGTAAATCCTAACCTCTGTGATGTTAAGAGGCAGGATTAGAGGCGGTTATGTTAATGAGACAGGATTCAATCCACAGGATTTGGTTGTATCTTGAGTCAATCTTTTTTGAGATATAAAAGAGAGAATCAAGCAGAGAGTAGAGGGACCTCATTACAACCAAGCAAGCAGATCGCATCCTTTGGACCTGGAGTCTCTGTGCTGAGAATCTCCTAGACAAAGGGAAGACTGATGACAAGGACCTTCCCCCAGGTTCAACACAGACAGAAAGTCTTCCCCTGGATCTGGCACTCTGAATTTGGACTTCTAACCTCTTAAGCTGTGAGACAATAAATTTCTGTCTGTTAAAGCCATCCACTTGTGACATTTCTGTTATAGTAGCAGTACTAGATAATTAAGACACTCCCATAGCCAGGATTCACAGTTCCAGGAATCAAGGGTTGGAAATGGGAGTGGCACCACTATTACCCCTAGTGACCCATTCACAGATTTTTTGATACCTGTCCCTGCGACCCCATGCTCTCTGGGTCTAGAGGTCTTAATTCCAAAGGGAGGAAGGCTCCCACCTGGAGAAACAACACGGATTCCATTGAACTGGGAGTTAAGAAGGCAATCTGGCCACTTTGGGCTCCTCATGCCTCTGAATCAACACGCAAAGAAGAGAGTTACTATATTGGCTGGTGCAATTGATTTTGACTACCAAGGAGAAGTTGTACTGCTGTTTTATAATGAAGGTAAAGAAGATTATGTCTAGAATACAGAAGATCCCTTAGGGCATCTGTTAGTACTACCATGCCCTGTGATTAAAGTCAACGAAAAATGACAGCAACCCAACTGTGACATGACTACTAATGAAGGTTTGGGTCATGCCACCAGGCAAAAACCACAACCAGCTGAGGTGCTTGCTGAGAGTAGAGGGAATATGAAATGGGTGGTGGAAGAATCTAGTTCTCTATGCCAGTTACGACCTCAGGTCCATCTGAAGAAACAAGGACTCTAATTGTTACAAGTATTTCTTCCTTGTATGTTCACATCAAATATTTTTGTTTTCTTACGAAATATAAGATGTAAGTGGAGCTAGTGTATTTTTGGTTGTACGCATGTTAGTTGTATCATCTTAGGTGTAAGTATGACTTTATAATAATCTTTATTTAGAGATTATGGATGGTTTAAGGGGATGTATACAGTTGCCAAGAAGACAAAACCATCACAGTCCACTCCTTGTCCACTTTGGCAGTTATGAAATGATGTCATCTGCAGTTAGGTAATGATGTAATTTGGCAGTTATGTAATGATGTAGTTATCTTCCATGATGTAATGTGATGTGAGCAATCAGTTATAAGGGTAGTTTTCTCAGGGGTGTGGTCTGCATTCAATATAAATACGGATGCTCTGGCAAAGCTCTCTTGCTTGCTCTGAATCCTGCATCCATCTCATCACATGAACTTGTTTTTGGGACTTGAGCCAGTGGCCTTCCATATTGCCTGCCGATCTTGGGATTCGTCAGACTCAGAAGCCTGTCGAGGCAGGCAGCCTCAGAGCCCAACTCTTCTAAGAGACACCTGCTCTGGCTTATTCTCCTACACTGAACAGGATAAGCTACATATTCTTCTGAAATTGTCCTTGAGAAGATAACCACAGAACAGGTCAAAGATGGCCTCAACCTACCTCTAGGTGGAGACTTGACATGCTAATAAAGGAAACCCCACCTCTTCCTCCATTTCTGAAATCGAACCCTTGTTTAAAGAAAATGCCTAGTCATCCCCAAGCCCTGAGCACCTACATGAAAGGCAATCCTAAATATTCATGATGCATTTGCATTTCCTTGTCTGCTTCTGTAAAAGCCCGCCTCCCCAAGCTGCCTACGAGCAGTTTTGGAGCCAACGGCCCCGATTGCTCCTTACCTTGTGCAATGAAATAAAGGCATCTTTCTGATCTCCCACCTTGGCCTCTTGTTTATTGGTTGTAACAAGTCACACTGAGCAAAACCTGGGATTTTCACCTGGCAACACTGTGAGCCAGTGGACTGACGTCTTACCTGACCATCTTGTGATTCATCTGCTTCTGTAGCCTGTGAGCCAGCATACTGCCATCATACTGCCATTATGGGTTCCTCAAGCTCCTGCAGCTACATGAGTCAGCAGAAGTCTCCAGCCTGATGTCTGACACATGGACTTGGGATCTGCCAGCCTACACAATCACATAAGCCATTTCCTTGTGTTAAATCTCTTCATATATAAAGGATTCAAGGGTTTTGCTTCTCTAGAGAACCTAGTCTAAGACAGAGAATGTTGTCCATCTAGCTATTATTCTAAAAGAGCCGGAACGTATAGTGGAGACTCCTTAAAATTCAGGGTCTCTTACATGATTGTTGTGTGGCCATACACCTTCAGCTTGTCTTGTCAATTCTGGAGACATAATCTTCTGATATCTTTATGACAGGTGGTAGTTTTACAGCTTGGAGCCCATCCAGTTAGGCTGTTACCCTTCCAAAGAAACTATGAGACCAGGAGCTGTCTTCCTTACTGATTACACTTTAAACAGAAAGCTCCCAAGTCCTTGAGGAAACATTCCTGGGTTGTAAAACTGCCAAGTTTAACCTTTCAAGAGGATGTCTCAAAAGAGGTAAAGAAAGAATTCACATTTGCAAATTTCTAAAGTAAATGCTTTATGAAAAAGGGAGGGGGAGTCTCTTTCCCTGTTTGCATCAGGGGAAATTAATCTTTTTTCTTCTTTTCTCAGAACAATCTAAAATATGAGGTGCTCGACACTAAAAAAAGAAAAAGGCTAACAGAAGTTTGAAATCAAACCCCTTTTTGTCCCTGGTTCTGATTTCCCATAAGTACATGACCCTTGACTGACTTTGCTGGAAGAATTTTGAAGGTTAATAGCTAAAATACGTGAAACGGTGCTTGCACGTAATGTCCTCGAAAAGTGTTTGTTTAGACTGTTCCCAGAGACTTGTATAAGGGATAGCTGATGATAAAAAGGAAAAGTGTGTGACCTTGCTTTGTGATTGTTACATGACTGACTAGATAGATTTTTAAAAACGTCAACCAGAGAATTTGCTAGGAAATTCCTAAAATATTTGTATATAGTCCTTTCTTCCCCTCCCTAATGCTGGAGGGCTTTGCAGACCTTCACAGCACTATCCAACTCCAGTTGTATATTCCTCAATAAAACCCTTTGCTTTTTGTCCTAACCAAGTGTGTGAGTTTTATTTTGACATTTTACGACTCACGTGCTTATTTACATCAGATGCACGTGCTCCTGAACAACCTAAAAATGTTTGTTTTCACCAGAATATAAGTAATCAAACTTCAATAACTGATACACACACTGAAAGCAATTGCCCCCACTGAAATTCACTGGAACACGCCAGATTCGGCAGCTCCGTGAGAAGATGATAACCTTCGGGAGGGAGTCTCCGTGACCCCAACGATGGAGAGGATTTTCATTCTGGAGAAAGGACACAAACGTTGCTTTGGGGACTGTTAAAGTGTGCAGCACAGCAGATGAAGAGGACCCACCGAACACGCCCTGACCTCACTTCCCATCTGCCTCTTCCAGAAGGGACTGACACTCTCGGTGGCCTCTGCCCCAGTGCCCCGACTGGTGCGGGCTGAGCCAGCCAGGTTGTCGGAGCGACCTAGGCTGTGCGCAGCCACCGAGCTGGGGACGAGGCTCTGACCTACATTTGTCCCTTTGGACCCTCCGCTCCTGCACGACAAGCAGGACACCGATATAGGCGAAAATTTACCTCAGACGCTGGTGGAAACACCAGTTAGATGGCCGCTGGGCTGGGGATGCGCACATCCACTTCCAGGAAGCGTGCTTCCTAGTTGAGGAGAACAGAGGGCAGCCTCTTCTTCCAGCTGGGATGTGAGGAGCTGCTAGCTTCTTCGGGAGAAGACTCAGTTGAGCCGAGTCCGGACCAGAATGGCGGCAGCGACCACAGCCAAAGGCATGGCTGTGGCAAGACCAGATGCCGGTCTTCGGGCTCAGTGCGACGGCTGACCTTTCCCCAGACCGTTTCTCCATCCCGTTGTTAGTTGAGGTGTAGTCCGTACCGACTCATGCAACCCCGTGTGTGCACAGTAGAACTGCACTCAGGGTTTTCAAGGCTGTGAACTTTTGGAAGTAGTAATCAGGGCTTAATCCTGAGGCGCCTTTGGGTGAATTTGTACCACCAACCTTTTAGTTAATGGAGCCCTGGTGGTGCAGTGGTTAAAATACTTGGCTGCTAACCAACAGGTTGGCTGTTTGAATCCACTAGCCACTCCACAGGATAAAGATGTGGCAGTCTGCCTCTGTAAGCCTTGGAAATCCTTTGGAGTAGTTCTACTCTGTCCTACAGGGCCGCTAGGAGTTGAAATGGCCTCAGCAGCAGTGAGTTTTTGGGTGGTTTTGGTTAGTAATCCAGCGTTTAAGTATTTGCGCCAGTTATTTGCTGTAATTGTTTACTATCTGTAGTCATGAGGGTAAGGACTTGGCTTTTGGTCCTTTTACACCTAGAGACTACAGCTCCAGGCACTTGAGAGATGCTCAAAAATCGTCACTAAGAGAACATGACTCACTCTAGGTCTTGGTCTGAATCCTGATCCTGTTGTCATTTACTCAGAACTTCTAGGACTTAATTTCCTTACAAAATGAAACAACATAAGTGTTATATATCCTTCTCTAATGTTCTGAAACCACATATGTATAAGTCACTCAAAGTATATTTAGACAAACTAAGAAATAGTTTGGGCAAATCTGCTGCAAAATATCTCTTTAAAGTGGTAAAAAGCAAATATGTCACTTTGAACTAAGGTGCACCTGACCCAAGCCATGGTGTTTTCAGTCGCCTCATATGCATGCGAAATCTGGACAATAAGGAAGACTGGAGAATTGATGCCTTTGAATTATTGCGTTGGTGAAGAATATTGAATATAACATTGACTGCCAGAATAACCAATAAATCTCTCTTGCAAGTACAGTCAGAAAGTTCATTAAAAGCAAGGATGGCAAGAATTTGTCTCATACACTTTGGACATGTTATTAGGAGGGACCAGTCCCTGGAGGACATAATGCTTGCTAGAGGGTCATCAAAAAATAGGAAGACCCTCAACGAGATGGATTGACACAGTGGCTGGAACAATGGGCTCAAGCATAACAATGATTGTGAGGATGGCACAGGACTGGGCAGTGTTTTGTTTTGTGATACATAGGCTGGCTATGAATTGGAACCGACCTGATGGCACCTAATAGCAACAACAAGCAATATTTTTCATCTTAAGAAAGGGAAAGAGGAAAGCGGTCCTGTGTGATGAATAATTACTTCACACGAAAAAACTCATGACAAGGAAAGTATTAGCCCAAGACACAGAAAGGGCTACATAAACCAGGGACTGCATCAGTCTGAGATCAGAAAAACTAGAAAGTGCCCGGTTATCACCAATGACCGCCCTGACAGGGAACACAACAGTGTCCCCGATGGAGCAGGAAAAACGAAGTGCAGAAGTCATATTCTAGTAAAAAGACCAGACTTAATAGTCTGAGACTGGAGGAACCCCAGAAACCGTGGCCCCTGGACTGTCAACCCAGAACTAAAACCAATCCCGAGGTCAGTTATTCAGACAAAGATTAGACTGGACTATGGGACATAAAATGATACTCATGAAGAGTGTTCTTCTTAGCTCAAGTACAGGAGACTAAATGGGCAGCTCCTGTCTGGAGGTGAAATGAGAAGGCAGAGAGGGTCAGGAGCTGGTTGAATGGACACGGGAAATCAGGAGTGGAAAGGAGTGTGCTGCCAAAGTACAGGGAAAGCAATTAGGATCACATAACAATGTATGCATAGATTTTTGTATGAGACACTAATGAATTATAAACTTCACTTAAAGTACAATTCAAAAAAATTCTTGAATGATTGTTGTTTCAGTCATCTAGTGCTGCTCTAACAGAGATACCACAAGTGGATGGCTTTAACAAAGAGAAGTTTACTCTCTCACAGTCTAGTAGGCTACAAGTCCAAATTCTCTGTCGGCTCTGGAGGACGGTCTGTGCCATCAATCTTCCCTTGGTCTGGAAGGTCCTTGTGATGCATCAGTCTTCCTTTGGTCTGGGAGCATCTCAGCGCACGAACCTCAGGTCCAAAGGACACGCTCTGCTCCCGGCACTGCTTTCTTGGTGGTGTGAGGTTCCCATGTGTGTCTGCTTGCTTCCCTCCTTTATATCTCAAAAGAGATTGCATTAAGACACTATCTAATCTTGTCAATCTCATCAGCATAACCTCATCACAGTGATAGAATTTACAACACATAAGGAGAGCCCATATAATCTCATCATAGTGATAGAGTTTACAACACATAAGGAAATCACATCAGATTACACAATCATACAATACTGGGAATCAAGACCTAGCCAAGGTGCCACACACATTTTTTGGGGGACACAATTCAATCCACGACAACTGGAATGTCTCTGAGGTTAAGAAAGGACGTCATACCACACCATATAGCAAATCCTAAAGAGGTGATTCAAGGGGTGGGGCTCAAAAGACCCACCGTCTGATATCAGCACAACCTCTACCTGAACTCTTGAAAGGGGACTGGGCTAGTGATCGAGTTCAAACATATGAGCAATGATTCAATCAAGCCTACATAATGAAACCCCAATAAAAACTCTGGACTTGAAGTTCAGGTGAAATTCCTGGTTGGTGACAGATATATATACAGGCATACTTTGTTTTATTCTGCTCACATATGTCTTAGTCATCTAGTGCTGCCGTAACAGAAATACCACAAATGGATGGTTTCAATTAAGATTTTTTTTTCTCACAGTCAATGTAGGCTAAAAGTCCAAATTCAGGACGTCAGCTCCAGGGGAAGTCTTTCTCTCTTTGTTGGCCTTCTCATCAGTGTTCCCCCAGACTGGAAGCTTCTCGGCGCAGGGAACCCTGTCCAAAGGACACTCTCTGCTCCTGGCACTGCTTTCTTGATGGTATGAGGTCTCCCTGTCTCACTACTCACTTCTGTCTTTTATATCTCAAGAGATTGCCTCAGGACACAATCCAGTCTTGTAAATCAAGTCCTGCCTTACTAACACAACTGCCACCCATCCTCCCTCATTAACATCATAGAGGCAGGTTTACAACATAAGGGAAAATCACGCAGTACCAGGAATCATGGCCTAGCCAAATTGATACACACATTTTTTGGGGGACATAATGCAAACCATGACAACATATATTGAGTTGTTTTTTTTTTTTTTTTTTTTTTTTTTATGAATTGAAGTCTTTCTGCAATCCTGCTTTGAGCAAGTCTACCAGCACCATTTTTCCAACAGCATGTACTCACTTTGTGTCTCTCTGTCACATTTTGGTCAGCGAAAAAGAGGAAGACCCTTAACGAGATGGACTGACACAGTGGCTGCAATAATGGGCTCAAGCATAAGGATTATGAGGATGGCTCAGGACCAGGTAGTGTTTAGTTCTGTTGTACATAGGGTCGCTATGAGTTGGAACCGACTTGACAGCACTTAACAACAATAACAATGGCCTCTAAGTGTTCAAGTGAAAGGCAGAGTTGCAAGTCTCTCACTTTAAATAAAAAACTAAAAAAGATTAAGCTTAGGGAAGAACACGTGTCAAAAGCCAAGATAGACCAAAAGCAAGGCCTCTTTCCCAAACAGCCAAATTGTGGATGCAAAGGAACAGTTCCTCAAAAAAATGAAAAGTTCTACTCCAGTGAACACATGAATAAGAAAGCAAAACAGCCTTATTGTTGATGTGCAGAAAGTTTTAGTGGTCTGGATAGAAAATCAAACCAGCCACATTCCCTTAAGCCAAAGCCTAATCCAGAGCAAGGCCCTAACTCCTTTATTCTATGAAAGCTGAGAGAGATGAGTTGGCTGCACAAGAAAAGTCTGAAGCTAGCAGGGGTTGGTTCATGAAGGAAAGAAGCCACCTCCATAAAATAAAAGTGAAAGACGAAGCACCAAGTGCTGATGTAGGAGCTGCAGCAAGTTACCCAGAAGATCTAGCTGAGATAATTGTTTAGGCACACTAAACAACAGATTTTCAATGCAGAAGAAATGGTGTACTGGAAGAATATGCCATCTAGGACTTTCATAGCTAGAGAGGAGAAGTCAATGCCTGGCTTCAAAGGACAGGCTGACTCTCTTGTTAGGGGCTAATACAGCTGTAGACTTTAACTTGAAACCAATGCTCATTTACCACTCCAAAACTCCTAGAGCCCTTAAGAATTATGCTAAATCTACTGTGCCTGTGCTCTATACACGGACAAATCCTGGATGACAGCACATTTGTTTACAATATGTTTTACTGAATATTTTAAGCCTGTTGCTGAGACCTACTTCTCAGAAAAAAGATTCCTTTCAAAATATTACTGTTCACTGCCAATGCACCTCATCACCCGAGACCTCTGATGGAGAGGTACAAGGAGATTAATGTTGTTTTCATGCCTACTAACACAACATCCATTCTGCAGCCTGTAGATAAAGGAGTAATTTTGACTTTCAAATCTTATTAAGAAATACATTTTGTAAGGCTATAGCTACCATCAATAGCAATTGCTCTGACAGATGTAGGCAAAACTGAAAATCTTTGGGAAAAGATTCTCCATTCTAGATGCCATTAAGAACATTCTTGATTCATGAGAGATCAAAATACCAACATTAACAGGAGTTTGGAAGAAGTTAATTCCAGTCCACATAGATAACTTCAAGGGGTTCAAGACTTCACTGGAGGAAGTAACTGCACTTGCAGTGGAAATATCAAGATAACTAGAGTTAGAAGTGGAGCCTGAAGATGTGACTGAATTGCTGAAATATGATAAAACTTTAATGATGAACAGTCGCTTCTTATAGATGAGCAAAGAAGTTTCTTGAGATGGAACCTACTCCTGATGAAGATGCTTCGAATATTGTTGAAATAACAACAAAGGCTTTGGAATATTACATAAATTTAGTTCATAAAGCAGCTGCAGGTTTTCAGAGAATTGACTAATTTTTTTTCAGATATCAACTCTTAAAAAAAT